AAAAACGAGAAGTTCGCATCGTAGATTTTGTGGTTATTGTAATCATTACTTAGGCTGCAAAACTTCCATTATAGGCCTATTTCCCCGTTTCAGAAAAGGGATAAAAATTATAGGCTGTTTAATTAAACAATGTCAAAGCTGATTGCATATAAAATAAATTAGAAATGGTTAATAAGTTCATGACCAGGTACATAATTCATCGCTATACTATTGCTACTCTCAATATTTAAAACCAGAGTAGGGATAACAAGGATGAATTGAAACTGGGTTCCTAAGACATGGTGACGTTTTCGAGCGTTTTTATTTTCGCCTTCATGCGAAAACGGTTTCAAACACCGTCGATTTACAGTAGAAGTTGAAGCTAATTCAACATATCGTCACAGCGATAAACTAGATAAAAACGATTTTGAAAACGCTCGAAAACGACGCCCGTGTACACACACATAGCCTAAAACACTAGCAACTGTTTTCACGTTGCACCTCCTCGCCGTAGATAGCATTATATAAGGTTATTATAGCATTTTAAACTCGCTTTTACGACGAAAACGCGGTCCAATTCAGTAAATGGGCGAATCATATACTGAGTTGCGTTCTCTTGACAGCAATGCATGTCTCGGGGTGAGGAGTGTCACCATTGAGATGTCACTCATTCATAAATTCAGCAAATGGTCGGAAATTTTCGGTTTTGCTGGATTTTGAGAACAAGGGAGATACAGAAATAAGACAGAAAACTGGAACGCGAATTAATTTATAGATAAAACTTATAATTTATAAGGAATTTTTAAAAGCTGATTGTTTCGTAATATGATTGCGGCTTTCATATGAATCAGATGGGAAAGACTCGATCGATCCCAATTTTTCGGGAGTGGATCGATATTAGTTGTCTAGCTGAGAGTTTTAAAATGTATCAATCATCAGAAGTTTCTGAAAAATGAACTTAAAAAAGCCCTCGGGTTTTCTTAATATAGGCTTTACCACTTTGGATTTTCGTAAAGAAAAAGACCTAAAGTGGTCCTATCTTTACGAAAAACCAAAGTGGTAAGCCTAGCTACGACGGCTACGAGTGAATTGGATTCGATAAAATTAGATCGTGATTGAGATCAACAAAACGTCGGTGCACCTCTAGGATCAAATTCAAATAAATCATCTGGCGTTGCTGTGACAATCATAATTACCTCCAACAAATCCAGGGGGATCCTTTTCTTCTTGCAGGTGTTTAGCTTTCTCTTCCAACCTTCTCGCAATGGCAACGAGCTCAGAATTCCTCATTTTTAGTTTCTTTATCCTTTCCTCGGCGACATTGTCAATATCTAACTCTGAATTTTGGCATGCTGACAATCCTAGCACTTTCTAAAAAACATTACAAACAAAATCATTGGTATTTCGACTTTTAAACAATTATTGGACAAGGCTGAGCATGATATATATGAGCAAAACTTTAATCACAGGTTCACTCATTTTACTATATATGCTCTTGCTACTTGCAATTGTGTCCATGAATCCTTCATTGCCCAATCATGTCTTGTGTTGGGTACAACTGCACACAAGGGAAGGGTGAATGAAAAAAATATATTTATAGAAATCTTTGGGCATGATGTGGTTAACCAACTGAATAAAGCCAAACACGTATGTGAAAACAAATCATTGACAATTCTTATCTGCTTATAACACTATTCTGTAGCCAGAAAACAACAAAATTTGCCAGCTGCTATGAATATATCAAGATGCAGTAGCAGTAAGGGATAGGTGAGTGGGTGATTATTTGTACCCTAGCCTACAGATCAGAGGCATGCTTTCTGGGCTGGCTTGTGTTCAAAAACTTCCCATCATAGTGGTACATCAAGTGTGCCCCTCTATTAAGCATCCAATGCCAATGTCACACAGAAAAGGATGCACCAAAATACCCGAACGTACTTCAGTTCTTAAAAGCAGTCTTGCTGAGATGAATCCTGCTTAAATATGTTCATCTATCTAAAAGCAGAATAGTTTTCCCAACAATGGAGGAGTACATACTTAATCTACTGTTAGTTAGCAGGTGAACAAAGGTCGTGTTTTCATCCTCTTGTGTCATGCATCACAATTAAGACTTGTTAGTTGCTCCAAAGTTGCAACAGATGCAATTCAAAAATTGCACTTTAAGTGAGATTTAAAAAAAAGTTTTACTGGCCAGCAAAAAAGTAGCTTATCAAATATCCTGAAGCTCAAATTGGAGCTTATTTATCTTCAAGTAACTAATCAGTGCATGGAAAAAAGGTTGCAAAATTGTCAGAGAGATTATTATACACATACACAAATAAAAATTGCAACATTGCAAGATAATATTGCAGAGTCTAACATAAAGGAACACCCAATTTCACTGATATTAATTAAGTTAGTATGCATCACTCAGTAATGACCTTAATTGGCAATTATACATACATATGAAAACCTAATTGCCTTTGACTGAATAAGATGCTCACAATTTGTGTTATAAAATTGATATATCCATAAGGTGGATTTGCTAGAGTTTCATTCTATATGCCATTCATTTCATTTGGCTTGTACAAAAAGAATCACTTCAATAATTTCATAGCTATTTCAACCTTATGCTGTCAGAAATACATGATATTAGATTATTATATGTCCCAAATTGTTACATAGAAAACCAATAGAACATGCATAAAAATGTTGCAAATTACTTTTAAGAATACCAGCGCAGTTCGAAATATTTAAACTTTAAAGTCTTTATACATGACCTGAGACTAACCTGAGACAAAGTTTGCCCATACTTTATGACATGCATACTTTACATGACCACATGGTTTGGATAGCCGGCAAACTTCAAAGGGAGGCGGTGGATATGTTGCGCATCAAAGGACAAAAAAATCACAGCCTCGTACCCAGGCGCTTTAATAGTAAAATATATAACCTTGCATTCAGGTCTTATATAGAGGTCAGCTGAAAAAAGCAAGCGCGCAGGGTGCTTGGGGTGTTTTTTTTTGGCGAGGAAGCCACCGCAAGCACCCCCGCGCGCTCGTGTTTTTTTAGCTTACCTCTATACTATAACTGAATGCAACATTATTTTTACTATTAAAGCGTCTGGGTACGAGGCTGGCCGTTACAGACGAAAAATAATAAAAAAAAACAAAAAACCGGGGCGAATTTTCAACTCCGTCGCTGGCGCCGGAGTGAAAAGCCTTGTTCTTGAATCTATCCATGATGCAATGCACATTCTACAACATTAAAGCTCCATGTAAAAGGGAAGGTTAGGACACATTGAGTTCATCACCATTTTATAGTTTCAGAGCAAAAAATATTTATATTTTTCATTATATTCACATCCAAAAATTGGAAAATAGCTTTCAATCTTCTCATTGAAGAATACAGAATTGCATAATTAATTTTAGATTAGATTGGAAATTGATTTGCATGTCCTTCATGAATATTACAATCATGTATGAACTGAAATTAATATCTGTTAGCATTTACCATTTGTGTGTGACGTTGGATTTATACTCATGTAAAAAGTTGCTATGGAGATTGAATAATTTCCGATTTGGTGAAGCACCGTCATTGACAAGACCAATCACCCAAAGATCCAGTGACAGCTCCAGTGTTGACACAACTTTCCAGAAAATGGGCATTAGCTGGTATGAAGTGACATTTCCTGTGAAATAATAGGCAATGATATGCTTCATATCTGTGGCCAAACCTCTTACAAGAAATGCCAATTCATGGGTGGCAACGCTATCTTCCTTCTCCAGGCAGGCATAATTGGTCACAGGATCACCAAGATCAATAAACCCAATCAGATTGCCAGAATGCTTGTCATATACAAGATTTGACTGTATCTTCATCTCGTCCATGACCAGTACGACATAGTGTTGAATTCCGCTAAACGATTTCACCTTGTTTTGCAAAGATTCCAGGTTGTCTGCATTCACCCCAGCTTTTGGAGAGAAAAAATTTTTGTAATCTCTCAAAACTCTTTCACTTGGTAATACCAAGGAACCACTTTCCCTAGGCTCCCTATAGGCAGCAAGTGATTTGCTGTGAACAGATAGAGCAAACAGAATAATTTGTGGGTGATATCTTCGTCCACAGCTAGATGATTGCAGCAGCTTAATTTGCTCTTGCCAGAAGAATTTCATGGGTGGAGTGCTATCAAGGCTCTGTTTATTCAGCTGATTATTGCTGACAAGCTACAATTAATGTGGGACAAAGTTAATGATATTTTACAACCGCAAATGGCGAAAAAATATACGAAATTGATCATACATAAGTATAGCCCTTCTATTTATGAAGAAGAGAGGTTTTTACGCAAAAAATATTCGGTAAAATATGCATTAACCAGTAGGATAAATTATTATACTCCTGTATATAAGCATTTGGTTTGCATATGAACAAACATTTAAATAAAAAATAACCACGAATTTTGAGGTCCAAAAACGGTGAAGTAGAAGGAATTTCAATTCAAGAATAAAAAAAGGGTAAAATTGAAATCCGCCATTTTTTAACACGTTGCAAAAACACATTGAATATTTTGAAAAAAAGCATAAAATTCCGTAGATCTTGAGATTTCGACTCAATTCTTCCACGCAAAATATTTATCCTAGCTGATAAGAACTTTAGGCTAAATATCGATTTTATTTTATTTTATTTTCACTATAAAACAATAAAGTAATTCTTTTAATTCGTATATTTAGATAAATTATTTGCAATTAAAATCTCTGTTATAATAATATTAATATACAGTATCTATAAAATAAGTTATAATCTGTGAATGTATATATATAACGATAAGCTTTACAGTAATTAATACAAGAACATTTTACAGTAATAGATATATTACATAGAATATTTTAGGATAAATAATGTGCAGTCTTGTATCGAAGAAAAGTAATCCACCTTTACCACATTATCGTGAATTACTTGAAATAAAATTGTTCAGGCTCCTATAACTGTTCAAATCAAATCTTTTTTTAACAATTTAAAAAAAATAAGAAAATACTGAGTTCGATGAAAAATCTCGGAGAACATCGCATAATTTGGCCGTAGTGGCGTTGGCTAAACGATTTTCTGATATATTTTGAAAGTACGCTAGTTTATGAAGTAATTTACGTGGTGAAGTTGTCAGATTAGCATTTCTTTGTACACTATCTGTACAGTTGTTATTTACATAACTTAAACCTGGCATTAAATATATATACGAAAGCTAAAAGTGATTTGTAGTTTAACGAGGGCTCGGAGGTTTGAATAAGGCGTGCTGGGTTTAAACAGGTCTATACTACGGGTAAAATTCTGATAATTTAAAGAATACATTCAATATTAGTTGCCATATTGTTATATGCCACCAACTTGTATTTTTGCCATAAATATTAGCTATACTTAGCGATGAATCCAGTTTCCAGAACGTTTTTATATGTTTTCTAAGTATAATTGCTATAGATTTTTGCAGGGAACGTAAGAAGCAGTATATAACAACTAGTTAAAAAACACATTAAAAAGTATCGAGGTTACTTCGCTCACCCGTTATACTTTGATTAAAATATACGTTTTAAAACCTTCTCTAACAGCAATTTGGTCTCTTTCAATTGACTACACCATTTATACGCGCACACTTTACTAACGGAAGTATATCCTGTGACTTTTTCTACTTGAAAGCTTTCTTAAACATTTTCCTTCCCTTGGAGAAAATATTCTTCCTTTTCTTGTGAGGAATTCCGCCATCTTCAGTGGGACTATGGTTGAGGTTGTTCAGTGACTGTTCCTAAAATGAAGTAGACGAGTAATTTCCACTGACCAGAAAAGCGGAAATCGATGGAGCAAGCGTTGATCAAACTGTGTGTTAGAGTTTTGATGTCAGAATTTGTTAAGAGCAGGAAATTAAAAAAGCAGAATTCAACATATCAGTATAATACAAAGATAATTTTGAACTGGCGTCTTGTAAATGATTGACAAATGACAATCTCAAACCTGTGCATTTGAGGGTGATTTTGTCTTCGAATCTGAGGTTTTTTCATTTGCAAGCAATTCAACATGGTTTATCTCTTCAACGGGCTTCAAGAAATTTGAGGGAACAAGACCTCGAATACCATTTAATTCGCCCTAAATTAGAAACCAGAATTGTGTCTTTACAAACAAATATTACCGCGTGCAGATGGATTTTGTGTTCTGTGGAGACAATGGTCGGCAAAATTCCCAGTATTTTGGCTTTAAATTGTGAGAATAATGCACCCAAAAAAAGAGTTTTTACAGATAAATATCCGCAACTTCACTTTTTACATTGCTACTATAAGGGATCTTTCCCTCGAATAGTCAAGCCGAAATACTCGGAATTTTGGGCATTTTACAGAAAACATGCACGCATCACTGTGTTAAAAGACTCATCAAGCCCATGAGCTATGTAGATTGATGCAGAAAGTACATGATTCAAGACAACTTCCAGCGATTAAAATAGATTAGCATATTTCTGGTTAAATTTTGAAGGAATGTGAACATGCACGTGCTCAGGAAGAATTGAATCGTTCCATTCGTTCGCTTATCGTCAAAAGAAAAGGCCCCACTTACATCGAAGAAACCGTCGTCGTGGATCTCACCAAAAACGAAAATAATCTCCCCGGACTTGAACTTCAATTCAACCTATAATATTCCATGACAAAAAACAAAAAAAAACAAGGTTTCTTTGCATTCGAGATTACAGACAAATTGCAGCAAGATAATTTTTTTCTCAAAAATGTATAGAGCTAATTATTTTCTTTGTTAAACACCAAAATTTGGCGTACTAAAACAGCTAAATTGTTAGTTCAAAAATGCATCACATCTCTTTCCTTTGGTATAAATTTAAACTGGTTTAAACTTCATACCTCACTGTCGACGTTAGGAGAATCGCTCAATGGATCATAATCATACAGAGCTTTCATCTTTCTTGGTCGCAAATCATCACTTTCCAAATTCTCCCAAAACGACAACCTGTCACCACTATTTCCAGTCTCTCCAAGATTCTGCGAAATAATATCGACGTCCAGTTCCCCATTGACTTGGTCATGTGAATTCAGCTCATTTTGCAATCTGACGTCATTGGTATCTTCGTTAAACAAGTCTTCTGCTTCGTTGATATCGACTTCGGAGACCATATTTGATGGAACCAATCCTTGCTTGAGTTTACATTCACCCCAGAGAAAACCATCATCGTCCACATCACCAATCACCTGAGACAAAGAAAAACATTACAAAGATTGTTCTCAGATGACATTCAGAGCCGACTTCTTTGAAAGAGGCTGCATATATACTAATAGCACATATACTATATATTACATAATATACATACTATATACTATATAGCTACTATTTATACATATATGCTATATATATACTATATACTATATATACATATATACTGTATACTATAATTTATATTACATCCCAAAGTTTATATTTTAACGTTTTTCTGTCCTTCAATAATTTGTTTTTGTTTCATTTTTGAGTCTCTAGTTCATGAGTATGTTTAATGTTTATCAGAATATCCTAAATAGACGGATTTAATCCTTGAGATTACGTCTTAGATTATCTTTGATTGGAGTTAATTCCAAATCTAACCTTAATCTCAGGGATTAAGTTCGAGTACTTAGGATTTGAACATGAATTATTACCTTTGTCGTGCTCAACCGGGAATCCTGCTAAATAATACTTGTATATTCAATCCCTTTCCCACAATGTTTCTGAAACTGACTTACCCTGATAATGTCTCCTTCATTGAATGGCAATTCTTCGTCAGCTCCGTCCACATTCGGCGACATAGTCATCGGGTCATATCTATACAACGCGATGTAGTAACGAACTTGTTCCGAAGCAACCTCGCTCCCTTCCGAGTCAGATCTGTTCTCAGCAGAAACGACTTCGGACGTTCGTTCGGAACCACTCGGAATGTTTTCGTTACCATCGCTTCCAGTCTGCACCGTGCCCCGGCAGTTATCGGGCAAGGATAGCGTAGCTATGATGGCCTCTAAAGCGTTTTCAGCTGCAGGAGGTTCTTCAGAAAGAGAACTATCTGATCTTAAAGACGCTCTTGTGGGACAACTTGACTCGCTAATATTTTCAGTCGACTCTTCGTCTTCTGTCTTATTTCCATCGGAATTAGGTTCTGTGTCGTCTTGATTGTGACAGTTGACAGTAACTTCCTCACCCTTAGAACTATTATCATCAGATCTTACCTGTGTATTGCCGCTTGCCTTTTCCGTGAGATTTACGGAATCTAAGTCTGTCTCATTTTCCTGGGTAACCCCATCAATTTTATCTTTCTGAACACTTCTATCCCTCAAAATCTCAGCATTATCCATAGTTTGTTCATCGTTACTACCAATTGTCCTATAATCGGTGTCATTTCGATTATCACTCGTAGTTCTAAAATTACCCTTATCGACCCTAGATGTACTCGCACTTTGTCCTTTCTTTGTCGTAGATGTTGTATTGTCAACCGTAGGCCCACCAATCATAGACTCATCCTCGCCATCAAGGAGATCTAAAACATCGTCTTCAGTTCGGAAACCCTCGTCATCGGACGTAATGGTTCGGCTCCAACTCCCAGTTAGATTCGAGTTCCTAGAATGGTCATCCGGGAGAGAAGTTAGTTGTTTATTAGAAAGAGTGGCTTCATCATCACTTGTTCTATCTTGTGAGGTGCGACTGTTTGTTTCGGTGAGATTATCTTCATCAACTTCGTGTATGACAGATAACGGTGGCCCGTATTCTGTGTCGGTTTCGCTTTCAGAATCCGGTGGTCCAATAGTCAGAGTGGGACCACTCCCCTTGCCCCACTGCTCATATCATCCGACACCGCATTCTGAATGAATGCTTGAAAATCTTTCGAGCGATTCTTGTCCTCCTTTTTTTCGCTATAAGTCTCGCTCCCTGAGGAGCGATGATCTGTAGCTAAATTGTTCTGTGAAATTCCATTACCCTGGGGTGAAGAATCTGTATTATTGCCATCGCTTCTTGTGATATCTTCTTCTTCGCGTGGTTCGCTTTTCGAACTGTTTTCTTTAGTCCCTGGATGATTACCGCCGAGAGTGTCACATTCGGGTAATTCGTTCATGTTTTTATAGTCTTCGTCGTTTTTATAGGCGACGTCGACTTCGTTTTTCCCCGAAATCTACATGAACAAAGTTACGGAATTTGAAACGCTAGACAGAAGGTACATGGCACTATAAAACCCGGGAAAAACTGAGAAAATTAAAGCGAAATACGCAGCATATTGTGCAAATGGGTCTCAAATTAGATAACCTACCTCAAAATGTTCAAATCTTTCAATCAATTCATCTTCCGTGTCAACGGTCTTAGACTCCGTGCTATAACTTTCACTTTCCGTTTCAACATCATACCGGTTGACGATTGGTGGCCTTCGGACAAGCGTCGGAGGAACATCGGTGGCACTCGTCGTATCTTTTTCTAGTCCGCCATCTTTCACGTTCTCGTTGTCATCCTTACTTCCTGAATTCAACTCGGCAACCTCGGAAACATTCGATTTCCTACTGGTCCTACTTTCCGAAGTCGAATCCATACTCGACGTAGCCTGGTGAACACCGTCGCCGCTGTCTTCCTGATCGCTTTCATTACTTGAAAAGGCACCTTGGTTCCTTGTACCTTCTTTATTAGACCAGCTTTCTCCAACGCTTTTTTTCGACAATTCAGAATTGTTTTTACTTTCTAATGCTGTAGAGTTCGCTTCCAAAGAATGGGCCAAATCCCTTGAGACTATAGCATTGCCATCACTCAATAAATTGCCTCCATCAATATTTTGACGCAAATCTGAATTACTTCTTGTCTCGAAATCTTTTTTATCTTTATTATTCACACTTAAGATAGCTCCTTCCACCTTCCCACAAGTCCTATTCTATTTCATGATCTTCGGAGCAAATTTCCACAGCATTCGAGTCGAGAGACTCGCCTAGTACGGACAGCGTTCTAACAACAAAGCGCATGCGCGAAAAGTCGTGTCGCTTTCCGAGATTTCTCAGTTTTTCCACTGGTATTACTATGCTGTCCACACAGGCAGAAACAATCTCCGTGCAATAAATATCATTTACGTAAATCTTATAACCGCTCACTTTATAACCATTAGAGTAGCCATCGAGAGAAAGAGTGACTGGTAACCAAGTTAGAACCACGTTCTCTGACGTCCGCTGGGAAAGTCGAAGATCAACAGGAGGCTCTGGTAATCCTATAACAGAAAAAGTTTTATCACACCATTTTAAACAAATGAATTATCACTGTAACCTACAATAGACGTCAAGACCAAACATTTGACAGTCTGCATTACAAGCTGCCGTCCCATCTCAGCTGCAAAATGTAGCCCTGCAAAGAACTTTATCAAACTTCTACACATTGCCTTGCATTAAGAATATAACAACAATTTTTTGCTCAAATACGTGATAATTTTTACCGCCTTTTAAAATGATCAATTCCGGCATGTTTAATTTGCGATGTTCAAAAGGATATTTTTCTACCTCTCGAGTTACCAACAGGACAAGCTGAAAAATTAGCACTGGGCTAGCAAACCAAAGGTCGCTGATTCGATTTCCACTGTGATCAAGCTAATTCTTCAGCTTTTCCGGTGTGTAACTCAGAGAGGCCCATCACGTTTATATGCATCCAATTAATTTAAGTGTATAACTATATATAACTATAGTCTTACCTCCATCAGCCGTTGTGAACTCCACTTCAGCACTTAAATCCTTCTCTGTGAGCTTACGCCCAGACATTTCAAGATGGCCAGGGATTATTGTCCGCACTCGTATGTGATATTGCGTCGAAGGAGAAAGATCGTTAAACGCAAAAGATGAACAACCAGCTTTGACATTTTCCAGTAATGTTTCGTTCAAGAAAATCTCGTGTTGGTAGCTACTGTGAGATGGCAACCATTGAAGCTCTCCTGACGTGGCTGTGATCTTGGTTACATCGACGTTGCTAGGCGACAACGTGGCATCTGTATGCAATGACGTAAGAAGTATATGAAATCTACAATACTTGATATGCCTTGCCAATCAGAATCAGAAACAAAAAGAATTGTTATCATCGATGTCACAAAAGTGCCTGTCGCCTAGGAGAGTCTTTAAAAGTCTTACTCGTAGTCGTTGGCCTTTTGAGCAAGAAATAATAAACAAACTGGTACTCAAAAGCTCGGCGACTACAAGTTTTGGCTGATGGCGTAAGCAAACAACACGCGAGAATCACGAATCTTGTACTCGTAGTCGTACGCGTAGAGAACCTTACCTGGACCAAAAACCATTGTAGCGTCGGTATCAGGTGACTCAACACCGCTGACCGACTTTGTTCGCACCGATACTCGATATGTCTGGAAATGTAAAGATGTTTCTCGTAAGACGGTAAGCGCATAGCAGAACAGTTGAACGCAAATTAACTTTACCGATAAAAAACAAAGCCTTAGCATGGATGTTATATCCAGTGTATATATAAGATCAGTGCCGTACCTCGGTGGGTTTGATATCTTCCACAACGACGTTCGTCTTTTTGCTTCCTTTGATCTGGGTCTTGAATTTCCCATCGACATAAATATTGTATCCCTGGATTTCATCATTGGGCAGCTGCGCTCCTCGCCAGCTTATTAATGCACTGTTCGTAAACTGACGATCCAGAGAGAGTTTAGTTGGTGATGGAACGCCTAAATGGGGTAAAATAAGGATTACAGAGGATCGAGCGAGGTTTTAATTGTCTTCGTAAAAAGTACAGTCCTACTAATTCTGGTGAAGATGATTAGGTCGAAACGTAGGGAAGTTTAGGCATGGTTCAGCTAACTTATTTTCCGATAGGCAAAGCTTTTTTCGCACTAGTAACTTCAGGCAAAGGAAATCCTAGATTCTTAGAAAATGTAAAGCAGGCTCTATATATTTTAGGCAATTGTTGAAGCAAACTTGACGATGACAAGTTGTGTAGAGAAGTTGCTATGTGCATGATTATTTTAATGTTGCACTGGGTGATTATGATCAGATGTTAATTCGATAACCAGATTTAGACATGTTTCATTCCTTTATAGGAAAAGAGATGCGTCATTCATGATCTTATGATTTCTCATGACATCTTCGCAAAGTTGAAATATTACCCTAGCAATACATAATAAGATCATTAAATCCTGATAACTCACGTGGCTCTGGGACATCAGAATCCATCGAATCCAATCCATCGCTAGAAACCTGATCCGCTTCCGGTTTATTGCTCTTGTTTTTCTGGTTTTTCCGGTTTCCAAGCTCGTCCTCGGAGAGGGAACTCGTTCCCAGGTCGTCTTCCTCAGACTCCCGGATGTCATCGAGTTGTTCAGTTAGCACGTGATCAAGAGATGATCGAAACATCTCATGACGACGTTCTGACAATAGAATAAATACTTTTAATAACGTTGAATAACGTTTTTAATAAGAATTGCATATAGATATGTTATACTTAAAATGCTTCCACTTTCTTCGCGTTTTTAAATGTTTAGGTGCATCTATTAAGTGTTTTACATGATTTATATATCTATTACTGCAGGTTGAGACGTAGTTTCGACACAGAAGCGGAAAAATTCACTTAAAAGTACTCGATTTAAAATGACTTGAAAAAACACTTCACTGGTTTATCAAAAGGTGGAGAAGTATATGTTCGGAGACACAAACATTACTGCCACACCACATGTTGAGCGGTTGAAAACAGGTTCAAAAACTTTAATCCACATTTAGGTATAAGTAAGACGTGAAATTTGTAATAACTTTCAAATAGCAATTAATTCTCGACAATTAGTCGAGAGAGTTTCTAGAGGTTTAAAACTTAATTCAGTCTTAGCTTTAAAACTTCGACATGCAGGGAGCGGTAATTAAAATAGGTTAATTCTTGAATTTATAAGATGAAAGGTTTTATCCGAATTGTGCGTGAAGTTAGACTGAACATTGCAGGGAAAATGTGTAGAATTTTGATAAAGATAAACGTTTTTTATACCCACTTAATTTGTCTCCCTTATTTTTTATTATGCCCAGGAAGTTTTTATGTTCAATCTAACCTTTAAACAATCTGATCTAATTTAACGCTGGAATACCTGATATATTAACTTATCTTAAAGATTTTATGACCCAACTCAGGTTACATCAATCATAATTTTCTTATTATTTACCCGAAAATGCTTTCGGTCGTATTACTCTCTTCTCGCCATCCTCGTCTTTTAACGTTATTTCGTCGTCTGAACTGTCTTCTTTTAGAAAATTTATACAAAAATTTTAGCAGGGGCTTTAAGTAGAAAGTTATGATTAAGATAGACCACGCGGTTAAAATTTTAGGTGAAAGTAAAAAACGTGTCCTATGCATAAAACATTTTAAAGTTCATTTTAACTTAGAATGTGGGTATAAACAAACAAGGCGACAAACAAACAAACGATTAAAAGACAAAAGAAAGTAAACAAAAATATACAGCAAAAAGTTTTGACAATTCTTACAATCTTTACCTTCGCTATCAAAATCAGCATCTGAAAAAAAACAATGTAAATAAAATCCTGTTTTAAGAATCTATATAGATTATAAAGGTTTGTTTCGAAATGAAAATTTTACACTTTTTAGCACATTAAGACAAGCGATTACAAACAATTCAATCATGTCTCATACCTAAGTCGTCGCTTTCTTTCAAAATGGCCTCTTCCTCTGCGATTTGTTCAACAAAATTCGAAGGAACAAGACCGCGTTCGCCGTTCATGAGCTCACCCACGTAAAAACCATCCTGTTTCAAAACATCAATATGTCATTCCAAATTAGATGATGACGGCACTTCGATAACGAAAATAATGCTTTGTGAATTTAAAACGGCCAAGAAACAATGTTAAAAGGTTTAATATATTCAGTGCATGAAAATTAGGTTAACTTTGGACGAACTTTCGTGTCTGCAAAATAACGCCGATACAGTTGGCCAATCTTTTTCACAACTGAATCAACTACAATTCTATACAATTAATCAGCCTGTAATAGTTGAAAACAATATATTCCTGGGGCCATTTGCTCGAAAGGCGTTTAGCTTAAACGGTGGATAAGTTAAAAATGAAAACCAAACTATCTATTTATTGAACAACTGCATGAGATGAAATTTTTCGATGTAAATAGTTTAATTGTCAATGGACGTACACCGTTTAAGCTAAACGCCTTTCGAACAACCGGCCCCAGCCCCCAGGATTGTAAACCGTTTATCAGAATGGTTTTGCGATCAATGCGAGTTTTTCTACGATCACATACCCCATCGACATCTCCGTAAACATACAGATAATCTCCAGCTTGAAAAGCGAGCTCCATTTCTGGGTTCTCGTTAGGAGAATATAGCATTGGATCATAATTGTACTTAGCGATGAATATGGAGAGTTTTTCTTCCAAGTCGGGAGAGTCTTGAAGCGGACTTCCGATGTAAATATCAGGATCTACACAACGTGTGTAAACGATTTGGGTTTAGAAAACATGTCGAGTACTATTTCTAGAAGTCAAGTTAATTTCTAAAATGCATTTGAAAGTCCAAGAATTGCAATGGCTAGTTCTTGCAATAGGCGGAATGGCGTGTTTATATGGAGTTCATTTTTTAGTACAGGTTCATTCGACGTCATGTTTTAATGTAGAAAACGAATATACGCCAAAAAACACATGCTCCGAAGGTATGTTTATCGCGAAACATCCCGGCCAAGTGGGATGGAGTGTTTATATGGCAATTTCTCGTCCTGTCTAAGCGGGATCCCGGGATGGAAGAGTGATCATATAAACACTCATTTCACTCATTATATCGTGTTTGTATCACAAGCGTAGCGTATCTCATTGTTTTAAACTCATTAGTTCTGGTCGAATACTTCGGAAACAGAATTACGCTACGTTACGATACGATACGGTTGAAGTGGAAAACAGGCCTTAGTTTCCATATTACGTAATAACCTTAATTAAACTAGTTTATGCCACCACGTGATGCCACTTACACGATAATTATTATACCATATACCAACTATCAAGTTATCCTAGCGCCACATAAACATAATTGAATCAGGTGTATTAGACAGACGCAGACACACGAAATAATTAAGTTAGTTATTAACTTTTTATTACCGTCTCTGGGATCGTAAAAGTCTGATTCTTGCTGGTCATCTTGCAATGTCTTATTTACACGAAGTTCTTCAACATCACTGGCTTGGCTCACATCCGCGCTGTAACTTTTATCTTCCTCGCTCGCCTGATCTTCGACACTCGGCTCCGAAGACTCGCTGATCTCCGAAGCTAAAAATCGAAAGAAAAAATGTTCCATAAATTTTCGCTGCATAACAAAACTAGTTGATGATGAAAACAGAAAATAAAGTGAATCTTCAAGGCTCCGTTCAGAATCGCTTTTGTTTTAAAATTACTCACACACGGGCGATTGTTTCTGGGTTTTCACAAAATTAGAATCAATCTCGTCAGAATCTGAAGCAGCTAATTGCTGAATTCGTGTTCCCGCTTTTTCCAAATCGAAACTAGTCGAAGAACTCGTTCCGTTGTACGGGACATTTAGGAGTTCCTGGCCCGAATCATCATCGATACTCTTTATGTCTTCGTCTAAAACAAGAAAGCCAAATAGGATTGCTCGCATGGTGCTTGGGAATTTCTGTTCATTAACCTTAGGATGTGTTTCCACATATCTTTGTCTGTTTCAGTGAACAGATTTCAAGTTTGGAGTCAGCAAAATAAAAAAACCCGGGAAGAACAAAAAAAACCCTGATGTGAAAGATTGCAAACAAACTTTAACTCCTCTGTTTAATCCGATCAGTTAATACAGTTGACTTGGTGAAAATCAGGTCAATGTTTGAGAGCTTAGAAAATAATCAATCGCCCTAAAATTGTCCGTTTTCCGGCATAACCTAGACTAAAACTTAGTATTCTTACGTTGGGAGATCTCTTTCATAACTGTTAGCTCCAAGCTGTTATTTAATTGGTTTTCATGCATGCATGTGTAAAATGGTTGAAAAATTGCTATCCGGTTGCTATCCGCCCCCTGGTGTCCATCTGTTTGTTGTTTACCTTGTTGGGAGTCTCGTTGCAACTCATGTATTCCGTTGTGTATTATTGGTGACATGACCGGGGATGACGGACGAGAGGTCTGGGTACTTTTGCTGTCTTTTGGTGTCGACGTTAGCACTGAACTTGCCGTGTTACGAGATTCGGCCATCTTTTCTTCACGAATACTCCTCGCTTTTTGTTCCTTTAATCGGCGCACCATGTCTTCCAAACCACTCACTTCTGCTGAATGATTTTTCTGAGCCACTTCTTGTGCCTGAAGTTTATCACATACGTTTATCTGCTTTTATATTTGAACGCATCCTGGGTGAGGATGTTATTTTCTTTGGGGGGGGGTAAGCGTTCAAAAGACTATTTTTTATACAGGGCCACATTTTTAAAGAAGAAGAAGATTGGGGAGAAAAATAAACAACATCTACGATCATAGTTGGGCGACGAGTGAGATTTTTTCAAAATTGGAGATATCTGTAACGCTATTTTATGAAAGCCACGTTTATACCGTCAGAGATAGATAGATCAACTTTATTTATTGAGTGTAAACACCGAACAGTATGATCAACTGATTTTGAAATAAGTGGCCCTCCAGCTTATACTAACAGCTATATTAATACGTTAAGAATCAATATTAGAAAGATATATAAAATCAGTTAAAAATTTCATTATAACTGTGATTATGTCATTAATATCTTTCCGAACCGCCGGTGTTAAAATAGGAAGATTTAGCATGAGGACGTGTCATGTCCATGCATATATAGACACATCACGCCATTTATTCGCCATTTTCACGTCGTTTTTGACGCTCACGTGCTCGTGCTAAATCTGCCTAATATTTCATTTCACTGGACTTTCATACCTCATAAAGAGATGAAATTTCTTGATCTCGTTCCTCGAGCTTCAACGAAACATTTTCCCTTTGCTTTTCTAAATCCATATTATCTAGCTTTAACTGTTCGGCCTCCTAAAAAGGAAAATGAATACATAACTTTTTACCACATTTCATGCGGTTTGTATACGACAGAAATCCTAGATTTCAAGAAAAAAAATTTTGAAGAAAAATAGAATTATTTAGTTTCCAATTTACGGATTTATGTTATTCATGTCTTGGCTTGTACGTCTGTTGAGATGAAGATATGAAAAATGAAAAAAATCAATCTTCACCAGAAAACATTTGATGATCCCAAGTAAATTAGCATCAAATGTGGTATAACAACTGCCTAAAATAGACAAAACACTTCTCGACGTTTCGACCTGAGGGCCTTCGTCAGGAGACTTACGCCTGTATTCTAAAAGCTCACTCACACTCAAACTCATTGAGTGGAAGATCTTAATCTTCTCATAACGTTTCAATGGCGGTATTTTCAGCCGAACAGGGGCTTGATTTTCAGTGATTTACCTTATATCTTTCCATCTATTCAGAAAAAACTTTCTCATTGATCAGCATTAACGAAATTTATATGTCACACTCGATGAGTGTGAGTGTGAGTGAGCTTTTTGAATACAGGCGTAAGTATGTATGTAGTACGTCGAGACGTTTTTTTTTGTCTATTTTAGGCAGTTGTTATACCACATTTGATGCTAAGTTGTTTGAAGACGCTGCCACGCTGCTCCCTGGTTATATTGTCTTATATTAACTTATCCCAAGCAAAATCTCAAAAAAAACTTCCCAGCGTGAAACGGTAACGATAAAATTATTTAGTACACCGTAACCAGTAAGCCCGCCAAATAAAGCATCTACCTTTTTAACTTCGGATAAGTCTTTGATTTCGTTTCTTAATTTCACATTCTCCTCTTTCATCGCAAGATTCTCGTTTTCCAATGTCTGGATACTCTCTTTTAAACGAGAGCATTCTCTTTCAACCTAGAGTTGAAGACACCCTTCAAATGTGATCGCTTTGTTCTGGATTTAATATAGAGGAATGGTCTAAACTAGAAACAGTAGGGTGCTGTATGCTACCCGCATGCCTTCTGTTCGTTTTGCTAGTGAAAATTGGGAACTCCAAATATTCCGTGATCGGAATTGTAAACATTGTTTATGATTGGCTACACCGGAAGCAGAATGGACCAATCAAGTGAAGTTTGCAACAACAGGCTTAGCCACATGAATAAATAATACGCAAGTCTCTTAATGAATGAATAATACGCAAGGCAGTGGATACCAGATCGCAAGTAATACCTCCTGATTGCAAGATCGACATGCAAGGCAGTGGATACCTGATTGCAAGATTGACATGCAAGGCAGTGGATACCTGATTGCAAGTGATACCTGATTGCAAGATTGACATGCAAGGCAGTGGATACCTGATTAAGCTGGTCAACTTTAGATAACAACTCGTTGTTTTTCTTCTGTAATGCATTGTTCTTCGCAGTGAACGCTTGCTTTTCTAAATCCTAATATATGCACAGTTACTGTTTTACACTATTTTACATTTTCAGGCGTTCTCGTTAATTTAGATGATATTTATCAGTTTAGTTACCATCGAAAAAAAATACATGAAACATCAGAACCAATAACGTAGGCCCGTGTTTAACTCGAGCTAACCAGGTGTCAAAAGAAAATCAAACTTACCAATTTATACAACCGCTTGTCCTTTTCCGAACACGCATTTTCCAGCTTCTCATTGCGTGCCTGGACTTCTTTCAGTCGAGTTGACTAAAATTCACAAAGAAAACCATGAATTAGAAAAATATATGAGTTTTAACCAAAGACTGTATCCTGTCAGAGGATGATAGCTTCTTCAAATATCTTTACAGGACGAATATCGTCGCAATGATAATGACCCCATTAAATTATACAATGGAACTTCGCGATCTTTCGACCTGAGGGCCTTCGTGCATGGAGGAGGTTATAGTACAAATAAGGATATAATAAGGATATAATAAGGATATAATCAGATAAGGATACAATTATACAACAGGAAATTCATATATAATTATTGTTCGTGGGTATTGTAAATTGCAAGGAACGTAGGTATCAAACCTATATTTAACCCAGTTATTTTATAATAATATAAACAAAACTTACAATTGTGTCGTGTTTTGATTTAAAATCTTGCAGTTTACACACTTCCTCTTTTAAAATATCGTTATCATTTGCTAGTCTTGTGTTTTGAGCGGTGATATCCTTTATTTCTTCTCGTAAATTCTAAACAAGGATTCAAGTTCATTATACAACACACATATAAGAGAACCGTAGTGAAGAAGCTTACTTTCCGATGTGCGAATTAAGAAGTAAGATGTCTGTAAAACTACACAAGGTCTCCAGTAGCTATCATAGATATTACTGGAAAGGTTTCTGTATACTTTTTCTATATGCCATAGGTGTATTAAGATCATCGTAGGTATTTGAGATATTTAGAAACATATTGCATGGTTTAAAACAGATACATCTACAATAAAAATAGACATTCTCAAGAGCTTGGCATCAGCGTGTATGCATGTGTTAGGGATATCTCTATTTGAGTTGATGTTGAAATGTTAGAAGAGACGTTTTGGGCAATATTTGGATTGAGAGGGGAATATGTGAATTACAGGTCAGTTTGTTCAGAGAGGAAGATACGGCAGAAAAAGCACGTGTTTGTAATCTAGGGTTCTTTTGATACAGTAAAAATTTTCATAGGAAAGTTGTGCACGTTGAATAAATTTTTTATATGAAAGAATAGACTTTTCCAAACATAAACACAATGCACTGTTTACTTAGCTAACACGAGTCACTATAACCTCGACGTTTGAAGAAACTTGTTTTTCAAGCAAAAGACGTTCTTTCGACGTTTGTTCAACAATCTTTTCCAGTTCATCAGCACTTCCATTCTAATAAAGACACAAAAGTCGAGTCTACTTTTAGTGGGAAAATACATGGCTGAGGGGCCTACCGGTTAAATATGGCTCTGTTTTCAATATATATAGTTCTAATTTTGGCTTTATCCAGTGTATCATAAGATCAGAGATATACTCAACTGGATTGTATTTTCTGAATGTTTTAACTTGTAATTTCTAAGCGTTTTATAATATAACATTTATAGTACGCGCGTGCTGATTGGTCGAGAAGCATGTTTTTATAACTGTATAGAGACACGGGCCTTTTCCCGTCGAAATTGACGAAGTAATTTAAAGATAATTTGTAATTAAACCGCATTATAATATTTGTGCAAAATCTTTTTATTGAGTTATATTATAAAAGAAATAGAAAAATTCTTTCTTGTGTTTCTATACGGTTATAGAACACTTTTATATCACATTATACCACCACATTTGATGCTAAATTAAATTTTGAAATATATTAACTAGATCGAGTTCAGAAAATATGGGCGCAGTCGTTTAGTTTTGATCAAGTGCACAGGGATACACGTACAAACGTTTAATTTAGATCGCGCAGAACATGCGTGCAGTCGTTTAGCTTCAGATCAAGTACACAGAATATGCGTGCAGTGTATATTTTAGATTCGATCCAGTACACCGAAAATGTGGGCTGAAAAAGTGCTTTCAAAAAACACGCTAGAGTGATTACATTCCCTGTAGTTCGATGTATTTGATAAGCCAATACAAAGAGATCTTTCTCAGTAGAATTCAGCAAAATTTCAAACAGGGTAGCGCAAGACGGGGGGGGGGGGGACGCATCAGCAGTTACAGTTTTCTGATATATTTTTATTCATTTTATATGAAACACAAATCTAATTAACAGCAGTTAATAAAAGCTGAAGAAGTTATCCTTCCTCATTATGTTCGAATATTACAAACTGATATATAGTTAGAAGTTTCTACGAAGTTTCAATGTTTCCCATGATTAATATTCCCTCTATTATGTAATGCCATCGCTTTGACAAGGCTAATATACGTACTACAATTTATACTCATTATCTAGGCAACGCTTTGAAAATCAATTTTAAAAATTACATAAACATGAACATTTCAAGAATATTGTCTGAACATGGTTTACAAGTGATCTGAACATACGAAAAGAACTGGAAATATTATTAAATCAAATTATCATATAAATCAAATAATCAGATTATCAAATAATCAACTGATAATTTGCTGACCAATAACACGGTTCCATCGGTCAAATGAATCGTTACACAGGCTCGTTACACTTGCAATTTTTGCTGCAATTTTTTGTGTGATTTTCGCCTTTTGGTAGGCCCACATGTAAACGGGTGAATTACTTACTGATGTTCAAAATAGAGCCCTTATACATCATGGGCCGGTTGTTAGCTTAAACGGTGGATACGTTCAAAATAGAAAACAAAATTATCTATTTATTGAACAACTGAGCCGAACTATTTTGCTGTAAATAGTTTAATTTTCAATTTTCAAACATATCTAATCCATAAGATGCAGGTTCAATCATTCACAAGATGTATGAGAGCAGTTTTAAACTTTGGCTTATCCACAGTTTAAGTTAATCGCCTTTCGAACAACCGGCCCAAGAGCATTCGTAACTATTAACTCGTTCACATCTTGCACATAAAATCGTAGCAAAAATCGCAAGTGTAAACGAGCCTTTAGGCAAAATTCAAAACCCTGTTGATTTAAGCAACGTTGTGTAACGTAACATTTTTATTAAAAATGTATGGATTTGCATAGATGTGGTCAGAGTCGTCGCTATTTAAACCGTTCTCTCGGCGTGAGATCACCTGGTAAAAGTATAAGATATGTTGGATGATTTATTGTTTCAGAAGAGTTTATACTAAACGCTACTCTCTCTCTGATGATTAAGTCGTCATCTTCATTGTCTGCTACACGAATTTGGCGCGATTTGTTTGTGGATGGTTTTAATCATTGCATCAAATGTTCAAGAAATACTTCGATCAAAAGTTTTTCATGATAGCTAGAGGTTATACTCAATTCAGTCCGACGTAATTCAGGTTTTGCAGCCGTCAGTTTGTTCAATAATGGTTTCACTCGTTGTTTCAACTGTTGTTTCCACGCATCTTTCTGATCTTCTCCTTTTTTCGCCCCAACAATATTCATAATGTAAGGAAAAGCACTAACGCTGAACGTTGTGAGTAACTGGACTGTTGGGGAAACATCGCTGGCTTGAAGAACTCGAACAAGAGTGAGAATAAAATAGGAGAAAAGAAAAGAGAAGAAAACTTTTAAAGCAAAGTAAAAAAGACTCACATGGTATGGTAAGAGGCGTTCTCTAATATCATCATAGAGTTCCTTTGATACCACGCACACAATTTTATCACTTTCATTTAACACATCATTGCTGTTGTCATTGTTGTTGTCATTGTTGAGGTCATTGTCTAGTTCATTGTTGGGGTCATTGTTATTTTTGCAATGCATGTTGCAATCATAAATCAGCCTCATCAAGACGACATATTGTTGTTCAACAGATGACCAAAACATCCAAAAGTAAAATGTCAGAATTGATATGTAAACAATGTAAGGGAAAAAGAAGACAATATTGAGAATTATGCCTGAGAGCAACCCAATTATAATGGGAGGCGTGTAGGAAGTACAAACGAATATTGGAAATATGAGAAAAATTGCATTACATAAAAAAATACCGTAGGCTATATATCGCCCCATTATGAGGACAGCTGAAATAAGTAAAGCAAACGGGCATGCAAACATTAAAGCAACTTGCAATATAAGAACGACTGGAATGTAAACCAAACAAAGAAAAACAACTTTAATGTACAGCAGAACTTTACACCGTGGAAAACATCGTGATGTATTAGAGGACTTGACAGATTTATAAAATCTAATCAACGATTTTTTCCAGCGTTTTATGTTAAAAGGCAACGTGACTAAACCAATGACTTTCGATTGAGCCTTGCGCGACAAATAGATACGTATGTCATAACTAAAATAATGAAATACTGCACGTACAATAGGAAATAAATGCAATACTTCTAAGAAGTCAATTCCCTCAAAAAAATTCTCAGCATCGTAATATATGATGGACACAGGAATGGACAGCGCCGAAAGAGCAAAAAACATAAGAGGAAAACCGCCAAAGTGATCGAACAATTCCAGTGTCCAAGACAACAGGAAGACCACTACCAAGAGCAAAAACCTGCGTACAAAAGATCTCACTCTTCCAAAACCATCCCAAAACAACAGACGCAGAATGGATAGTAATGACATCGGACTTTCCGTTAAATTGTAATAACCATCGACCTTATTTTCCTTTTTGACTAGTAATATCATGGCACCATATATTAACAGGGGCACAGATAAAACTTGGCCGTATTGAATCACCGATAACATCGATTTAATTGTGCGCACGAATTCAGATTCATCTGACCTCACATAACAATGAGGATTATTGTTAAAACTCTTGCAGCATCTCTTTTGCGTGGTTTGACTCGAATTTTTGTTGAAACAAATTTCTTTCTCCTGGATCATAGACAGTTGCCTCAAAAGAGCTCCAGCAATAAAATCCTCTAGTGATTTTTTAGACGCCGTACATCCGGCAGGACTATCACTTACACGCAATCGACTTGTTCTTCTCCCAACGTCGAGAGTCCAAGTAGGCCACGTAATGACACTATCCTCGGTGACTTTAATTTTGGGGAATGCCAAGATATTATGACCGATATTGTCTGTCCACAGCCAGCTCCACTTCTTAATGGTGGAATTGTTCTGTTTAGAGCTGAATTGAAGATCAAGTTGTACAACATGAATAACCTTATTTCGACCTAGTTCTTGTAGAAACCACAAATCTGTTTCGTTGACGATCAAAATACATTCCTTGTCTGTTTCACTTGAGGAAGTCGTTCTAATATTGTAAGTATGGTTTTGACTGGTAAATGTGCGCCCTTCGTGACCGTCAGCTGTTACCCAAAACGAAATACCAAGAACCAAGAGAACATACAGAAAAGATGTAACCATTTTGAGTTGACAAAGCATTTCTTACAATGAATGAATGCTTCCCTTTGTCTGATGCAAGTCAGTAAAATATGTGTATTATTATTGTCCAAGGCTAACTGTACAGATGGTATCGTACGACTGATGCGATGATGAAGTCTACAGCTTTAAGCGTTTATACTCGCATCAAATGTGGTCGTAACAACTGCCTAAAATAAACAGTGTCAATGACACTTCTCGACGTCTCAACTTTTTTGGTGGTCATATTTCCATAACTATTGTGTAGAGGCGGCAGGGCTTCCACAAAATGTTTGCATATGGCTTTCCTCGCAGACGGATGGGATTAGAGACAAATTAGCGGTATTAATACCGAGCCTAACACCCATGGTATTCGTCTTGTGCAAAGAAAACTCATAACGCCCACCTTTTATCAGCACGGGTAATCCCCTATTCCCGAAGCATTTTTGCTCGGTATCTTGCATGTTGAACAAGTTATTCCTACTGATTCTAAACATTTGTCTATATACGAACTATTTGATATGACTTGCGCGAGATAGGCTGCGTTTGATATTCGACAGAATGATTTTGTTTGATCTCTTAATTAGCATAAAGATTACATCATTATTTCAGATGATGCAATGATGTAATTTGATGTAAAAGTGGCATCAGCCAACATATTTAAAAATGGTTCAGATGAACACTATGCGAGGGGATGCAAACAGCGATCGGGAAACGGACGAGGACTCCTTCAGAGGGACAGGGAGTAGTCCAAGTTAGCAACAAGTCCCATTTATGTGGAAAATGTGGCAAGCTACAAAACACTAAGAGTATTCTAAGATGTTCCCGGTGTAAAACAGTTTGTTATTGTTCCATAAGGTCCCAATCGGGCCATTGGAAACAGCATCAATCTCTGTGTGATGCAATAGTAAACCTGGTAGTAAAGTTTGGAAAAGACGAGAAAGTCTGGTTAGAGAACAGGGACAATATCTAAG